CGGCAAAACGGCAGGAAAATGTCACTTTCGGCATTTAGCCGAAAGTGCCATTTTCGGCCGGCGCCCCCCCCTTCACTTTTCGCCCGGGGCCCGCGCCCCTGCTGCACCCCCGGTTGTTACGCCACTGCTACAGTAACTACCATTTGTAACCTTTATATGGGACAGTGCAGTTCCAACAGTAGCCTGCTGCAGAAAACATAAATACAGAAATCAACGATTTGTAGGTTGAATGTTTGTCAGCAATAATCAGTCTGGTTTAGAGACCTGTGGAAACAGATTTTGTGTTGGCTTCATGTGAAATGCAATACATTTTCCTATTATGTTTATGTGCATGATAAATGCCCAGGAGAAAAGAGAAAAATTACCCATTATTCTTGAGAACCACTCACTTCAGATTTCCCTACATATGAGTTCTAAAAGTGTTGCATCATTGGGTGATGGTATAGTTTATAAATCATCCCACTTTAAAAAATGAATCGCATACCACTTTTAAGGGTCTAGGCTGCATATGATTGTAATTAATCTGTTCAGGCTTGAAATTAGAAAGGCTTATTATACAAAAACAATAATGGTGCCAAACATCATCTCTAACAGTCCCAAACAATGTATTTATCTATAGAAAGCTCATATAAAATACTGCAGTGTTATTGGAATAGTGAATTCAAAGAATTTATACCTAAACCATTTTACAAGGTGTAAATATCTGCAAACTTTAAGTAGTTTGCACCCTCTTGGTGTTTCTGGGACATTTTTTGGTCCCTATGCAGCCTTGTAAGCCATCCTGTGCTGGTCATACCAATGAAGAGGGCTTTTACATCAGATAGTATACGCATACTATTTTTTTTTTTTTTTGACTGCACCTTTAGGCTGGCTATATCAGTTCTGCACACAGTAGTGGACGAGTGCTTTGACATTATACTATATATGCTTCTTTCAGATATTCTTATATTGGGGACCCTGATCCTGTAAAGCATTAAATCCTATTTGCGTAAAAACATACCAGGTTGTTGTAACTGGACCCAAAAGTTCAGTAAGGGAATTGTTGAGATTATGCTTTTCTTTATATTATCAAAACCATTACACTATTCCTTGGTTTATAATTGTGTTTATAATATTTTAACAGTAATGTATGTGAATGTGTCACATATCAGGATATCAGCCTTGGGTGGAAACTGTGGTGATGGATCCTTTTTGCAAATTTTGAAAAGTAATGTAATTTGAACTGAAACTGAACAGGCCAAGCTTCAATGCTCTGAAACAAATAAGCAGCCCTAAAATAAAAAAAAGGCCACTTAATTCTAAAATATTTTGATGGATTTTTTTTTAAAGGCTTTCGCTTTGTGGTAGATTCCATTGATATCAATAAATGAAAACATGTTACAATATTGGTTCTGTAGGAACCAGTTATATTAAAATCTGTTTTGTACATTTTTTTAAAATACAGTAAGACAAAGCTTTGCTCTGTAAAATATCTATGTAGGCATGTTCAGCAAGTAGTTGTCCTTTAAAGTAATTGTATAAAAAACATCATGCTTCGTATATGAATGCTAGAGACTGTAATGCCATTTATATGTTGGAGAAAAGGATGAGGGGAGGCACTACAGAATATAAGCCTTCCATTTCAAGCATAAGCTATAGAAACTGAACAGTTTAAGTCCATTAAGGGTATTGTGTTTTCAATTGCAAACACCCCCTCCAGATGCACATACGCCAGGTGACTCAATCTGCTTTGAACCACTCATTTCATCTGTAGGTACCATATTTGCTTTTATCTAGGCCACACAAATTCCAACAAGTAATGCAGTGCACTATTTGGAGAGATGTAAGGCAAATCACAATGGAATGTTACTTTATAGCTGTATATTTTAACCCTACTAAAGGTGATTCTAAAGCTGTTCTTTTATTAAATGTTTTCTTGTTCCTATGTAGGGATTGGATTTTGCTGGGTTCACTGGACATATGTTCCTTGGGATCTGTCTGGTTCTGCTGGTTTCCTTCCCCTTTCTCAGAATGTTATATTGGAACAAAAAACTGTACAATAAGGAACCCATTGAAATTGTTGGTAAGCCAATGTGGGCAGTTTTATTCTTATGATATTTTTCTCCTCAACACCAAATACTCATAATCGCAATGATTAGTGACGTAGACTTGGAAATGAGTAAGGATGGCAAGACTCCTGCGTAGGGTGCAGTTGGGTTCCACATTAAATAGGCAGTTGACAGTAATATTAAGAACACTACAAATTTTCCTGCCTATTCATTCTGAACAAAAAAAAGTTATAGTCCTTGAATATTAATGCACTCAATCTAATTTAAGTTCCAATGTCACATACGTAAACTATATCTAAAAAACAATAGGTTCACATGTGAACTCACTATATTTGCACGCAATGAAATGAGTATGTCAATTCCTTTTGAATAAAATAATATTTTGGCTTTGTGACACGTCTAACTAACTTTTGAAGAAAATGTATATTTTTAAAAGTGGCATACATATATAACCCTTCTATGGGATAATTAGATGTTTCTCATAGACTTTGAACAGTGGGGTTACAGAAATACAGGTGTAGTTCATCTCTACAGATTGTCAGAAAGCAACTACAATCAACTTCAATCAACAAAAACATTTTCAGCTACATTTCTTCTGATTAGCAATCAAAAACTCTGCTGTATCAGTAGCGGAAAATGAAATTGCTTCTTCAACATTTGCTGATTTTCTGTATTTTTACATTCTGTGATTTTTACTATTTTTAACCATGCCAATTATTTTATGCACCTTTTTAGCACAGGGGATATTTGATCACTGTTTACCGCTACTAAAGTTTTAATGAACTAATATAAATATGTGCAGCAAGTATTACAGTTTTAAATGATTTACTTTTTTGTGACTTCCAGTAGAGAAAACAGGGTCAACTGATGAACAACTTATTGCTTAGGGATGAGCTCCTTGTTTGGTCTGCATTCATGTTCAGAACAAATTTTACTTGTTCGTAGGTTTAAACAGCGACAATAAATGGGTGTTCAGTTGGGAAGTAATACAATTTAACAGTGGTATTACTACCACTGCAAAATGTGACAGCTTCCCACTCAGGCTGATTTTCAGGGAGCTGGTGGCCATTGGAGTCTTAACAACTGTTGAGTCATCCCCACCTGACCCATTCAGCTGTCAGTGAGAGATACAGTGGTGTACTTTGGTTTTGTGCTGCCCTAGGCAAGACTAAACTCTGGAATCCACCAATCTAAATGTGTCCCACCCCTTCCTGTTTCAGACATGTTTTATAACCTGTCAGTTGCTGGATACAGTATGCAGCTGCATCCAACTTCTGACAAGCAGCGCTTTTAGCAATGCAGAATACCCCCAGCAATACATTATGCAGCAATGCCGCATAATATGAAGCTACATACTGATGCCTGATGTCTCAAGGGTCTCAGGTGGGCTGCACGGCATCTCAGGTGGGATGTGTGGTGTCTCAGTTGGGCTGTGTGGTGGCTCTCAGATGAGTGGTTTTAGGTGGGCTGTGCAGGGTGTCAGGTGGACTGTGCAGGCTCTATGGTGGGCTATGCGGCATCTCACCAGGGCTGTTCTGGGTGTTAGGTGGGCTGTGTGGCGTCTCACCAGGGGACCAGAGGTGGGCGGTGTGGTTCTATAGGAAGGAGGAGGAGGAAGAGATGTGTGGCCGGTGCTGTACACAGTCCCTGTGATGTCCCAAAAAGGCTGCTGTGAGGTCCCCTGCAAGCGTGGGACCTAAAGGCAGCTGCCTGTATTTCAAAATGTAAAGTGCTGGTATCATTGCTTAGTATGGGGGCATTTTGACAAGTACGCTTGAAAATGCCCACTATCGGCACTGATACCAGTAATGGCAGGTGAGGCTCTGCCCCATTGGTTTGAGAGTGGTGTTTTTGCCGCTTGGTAAGTGCCACTCAAGGCAAATGCCGTTTGCCTTGGGACAAATACGCTCCTGGAGAGATCCCAGCTGACAGCTGAATTTAAAGAAAGGGGCAAGGAGGGTGTG